TTCTCGATATTTGATTGCTAAAATGTGTATGTATAGTATATATTCTCGATATTTGATTGCTAAAATGTGTATGTATAGTATATCTTCTCGATATTTGATTGCTAAAATGTGTATGTATAGTATATCTTCTCGATATTTGATTGCTAAAATGTGTATGTATAGTATATATTCTCGATATTTGATTGCTAAAATGTGTATGTATAGTATATATTCTCGATATTTAATTGCTAAAATGTGTATGTATAGTATATCTACTCGATATTTGATTGCTAAGATGTGTATGTATAGTATATCTTCACGATATTTGATTTCTAAAATCTGTATGTATAGTATATCTTCTCGATATTTGATTGCTAAAATGTGTATGTAAAGTATATCTTCTCGATATTTGATTGCTAAAATGTGTATGTATAGTATATCTTATCGATATTTGATTGATAAAATGTGTATATATGTATTGTTTATATATCTACTCGATATTTGATTGCTAAAATGTGTATATATGTATTTTTTATATATCTACTCGATATTTGATTGCTAAAATGTGTGTGTATAGNCCGGGAAGGGTCGGGTTTGAAGTATAGTATATATATATATATATTTACTCGATATTAAAAATGACAAAATAATAATTTTAGATAGGTAGGCGATTATATCAATCACTGAAGACTACTTTCGTTTTAATTTGTATGTCCATTAAGTTGTTAAACAGCATGAATGCACATAAACATAGAAGTCAAGAGCAGCTGATAACTAAAAAAAAACTTCTCTATATTACTTGTAAACTTCTAATTTGAAAAAGCTTGCTAACGATGAACGCTTTGATAAAACTTACGTCTTCATTGTATTAATATAATCGCATACCACTGTACTTTTAGAAATAATATGATAATGATGATAATATTAAAATAATAAAACCCTTAAAGACAATAAAACCAATCAATAAAATCATATATAATCAGACCTTAACATTTACCAAGCACTAACAAATATTTAGTAAACTGGTAGATACAGGTTGTGATCAGAGGCGTATACAAAAGGGAGGGGGCTATGGGCTCAGCCCTCCCCCCCCCCCACCTGGGTCATTGAAATGTATGGTTTCCAGGGCATATTATGACCCAACAGTTGTCCACAAATTTCTGTATACGCCCTTGGTTGTATTTTACGATAAAGAATAATTGTTACATAATCTAAAAAAAATGTTATTTCCAGAATTTCAAAACTGACAAACCCTGGATCCATTGGACCACTCAGTCGCGCAGAACAGGAAATTAGCAAATATTAATTTTTATTCTTTTTAATACCGTGGTCAGGATATTTATTAATAAAAATCATTTACTGAAATGGTGTATATAATCTAGAGGCTGCCATGTATTTCAATTCAGTATCCGGTACTGAAATGGTGTATATATAATCTAGAGGCTGCCACGTATTTCAATACAGTATCCAGTACTAAAATGGTGTATATAATCTAGAGGCTGCCACGTATTTCAATACAGTATCCGGTACTGAAATGGTGTACATATAATCGAGAGGCTGCCACTTATTTCAATACAGTATCCAGTACTAAAATGGTGTATATAATCTAGAGGCTGCCACATATTTCAATACAGTATCCGGTACTGAAATGATGTATATATAATCTAGAGGCTGCTATGTATTTCAATACAGTATCCGGTACTGAAATGGTGAATATATAATCTAGAGGCTGCCATGTATTTCAATACAGTATCCGGTACTGAAATGGTTAATACATATTCTAGAGGCTGACACATATTTCAATACAGTATCCGGTACTGAAATGATGTATATATAATCTAGAGGCTGCTATGTATTTCAATACAGTATCCGGTACTGAAATGGTGTATATATAATCTAGAGGCTGCCATGTATTTCAATACAGTATCCAGTACTAAAATTGTGTATATATAATCTAGAGGCTGCCACGTATTTCAATACAGTATCCGGTACTGAAATGGTGTATATATAATCTAGAGGCTGCCACGTATTTCAATACAATATCCGGTACTGAAATGGTGTATATAATCTAGAGGCTGCCACATATTTCAATACAGTATCTGGTACTAAAATGGTGTATATATAATCAAGAGGCTGCTATGTATTTCAATACAGTATCCGGTACTGAAATGGTGTATATATAATCTAGAGACTGCCACGTATTTTTATACAGTATCCAGTACTAAAATGCTACTTAATAAAGATTTGACGGTGCATTCACTAATGACTATAAATAGTACTAAAATTGTATTATATTATATCACCATTTTATCAACTGATACTGTATTGATATATATAATTCTGAAAGAGTCTATACGGACCAAACATTAACTGATCTTCCGATTACAGAGTGGCATGTACGATTCGCAATAGTACTCTTTACATTTTCTTTCTAAAAATTGATAATTATGAGTTGTGATTTCTCTGCGAAAGTGGTTTGCAGGTTTGCGGGTCTGCACAGCAAAAACGCATTTTATATACGATGATGTTTTCACATTGTGGCAGCTTAGGTAGACTAAATGGTACCATTGTGAATCAAGCAGAATTCAACTCTGTGTTTGATCAAGTTTACAGCAAACAAGGAAAAATAAATAAATTAAAAAGAACACAATAAATAATTATGCAATCTAGCATCTTTATGTTTTTCATTTTATCTTTGATTTGTTAAAAGACTAATTTTGTTTGAGGTTTAGACTCTAGTTCTAGGATATATTCTGAATATTTACTCTGATTCTAGTTCTAGGATATAATCTGAATATTTGCTTTGATTTTAGTTTATTCTTATACAACAACATACACAGCCCAGAACAACAACAATGGAATATACAACATCTGAACCTGATCTCACAACAATTATAGATCAAGAAATAATGGAGTATACAACAACAGAAACAACATCAGCATCAACACCAATTATTACCACCGCCACAACAACAACAACAACAACACCAACAACATCAACATCAACATCAACATCAACATCAACATCAACATCAACATCAACATCAACATCAACATCAACATCAACATCAACATCAACAAAACAACAACAGCTGCTGAGGCTGTAACTTTTCCAAAAACAGGAGAAAAATATGCAAGAATTCTAGATTTAACAACCATCATTTCATGGGAAAATCCAACTACCATACCAACAACAATAACAGAAGAGTCAAGTACACTTTCTCTCATTGATGAACTCAGACGTCAACTAAAATCCATTTCTTTATCCTTACCCTTAAAATCAACCACAACCACAACAACATCCACAACAACAACAACAACCACAACAACATCAACAACAACATCAACAACAACACCCTTAAAAACATCGATGTACTATACAAAAAGAGCTGAAGTGCAAGCTGCTCCCAGTATGTACAGGTAAGCACTCTTAACAGTTCAGTTGACTCCCAGGTCCCAGCAAACAAACTTTCCTGAAAATTACGTCGTTTAGGGACTCTGAAAATTTCTACTGCAGAAAACATAAAGTAATTTTTAGAAATACAATCTTTAAAACCTGGAAAAAATATTATTTATTTGAAGAAGGGTTCAAGGGTACCGTTGTGAATCGGGCATTCACTTCACTTGAAATTACGGTTACAGTCCCTTCATTCCAACATGGATCCACACACTGAAACATTCTCAACATTTGACTTATTTCAGACTTGATGATCTGGATGTTGGTGAATCTAAATCTGTAGCTGATGTACTGCAACAGCATAGAAAAACAACAACAATGATGTATGGTGACATGTCAACAACCTTGTCACCAGTCCATCTACTGAGAACACCACGGAATCTTGAAGAGGATGATTCTGGGTTGGAGAAGGATTCTGTAGATTCTGGAGTAGACGATGTTTATGTAGATTCTGGGTTGCAGAGGGATTCTGTAGATTCTGGGGTAGACGATGTTTATGTAGATTCTGAGTCAGCAGAGGGTTCTATAGAGTATGATTTGACAACTGAAGATGATAGATGGGGTTGGAAAATTGAAGCTGAAACAACAACTTTACTCTCCAGGTAAACATATAAATTGTACTTTGCTAAATAAAGGTATTGAAGAGTGCATGGTAAAAGTAGCATGTATATATATTTATAAGCAAAACATAAACGATTGCCTTTTATCTTGCGTTGTTGTGTATTCAACTTGCTGATTTTGTAGCTTCCAAATATGGACAAAAGCTGCATTATCTGAAAAATAAAAAGCAAGAATTTATTTAAAGTTAACGTAACTGCAGTTAAACTAAAAGTTCAAAGTATCTTCAAATCCTATGCAGCCTTTTGGTTTGGAATATTTGTGTGGGGGGGGGGGTTAACGGCTGTTAGATTTAGTCATTTAAAATGTCTCTATCTTATAAACTGTCACCCACTCATACTATCCAACTATATGTATTATGTCTAATCTCTTCTTTATAAACCTGAGAATCAGGTTTAGTATCCGTGTTCTAGTTCTAGGAGTATTGATAAACAATACCATTTGTTGGAGGCAAAATTTTTAAATCTCATTCTCAGAGGTAACATTTTAATCTTATTTTTGAAGGAAGAATTTTAACGACCGAACGTTTACTGAAAGCATTAGGACCATGTGAGCTCAAACGTTTTTGTTGGCCGCACTGGTTATAGATATACACGTATTGACAAACAATCTAAATGTATCACGTATGTTAATTGATTCATTTAAATATTAATAATGAAAAACCAGCATTTATTTATTTTCATTAACATTGGCACATTTAGGGCTAGGCAACGTTCCGTTAACGAGTTTTTTTACTATTAATAAAAGAATCCGTTAACGAATGCATGGAAGATTTTATTGATTTTGAAATCGTTAAAGAAAAAGAATAGTCGTCACTGAAAAAAATAAGAAGACATTTATTTGTTCCACCATTTATCTTGTGTTTACTAATGCAAGTATTTCTAATTTGTATGCATATTGCATATATCACAAACTTGATAAATAAACAGATAACAACCAGAAAAAAGTTAACAAATTTGCAACAAGTACATAAAGAGAAACATGGTAATTTATTCACAGACACGGCTTAAAGGGTTTGTAGACGAATATTCATCAGACCCTCCGATAAAAGAGATGATGTCCGATTCACAGCGGTATTCTTTTAACCTCTATCTGAGTAACAATAAGGAAGATGTCTCCAGTTTTCAATCTTTAAAAAAACGGAAATATTTTTTATTGTCTCTTGAGTATAGGTCAGAATGTCAATGTACAGACTACAGAGAAACTTTATAAGAAAATAATCGTTTTTGCAATAGATAAATAAGGATATTGAACTTATCCTTGATATGTACCGTGTGGCATCATTTGAACATGTTTGTCTATTAGAATTACGTGTGTAGTCCCTTTTCAGTATTACAAAGCTAAACCCTGGCAGTCTATGCGAAGATCTAAGTATTTATCTAATTTAGCTTTACTTGATTTATGAAATGTAGAGTCTGAAATACTATAGGGGGGGGGAGGTGGGTTGGGAGCTAATCTGAAAGTTAATAAATCAATGTTTCCCAAAACAACGTTATCATTAAACAATCAGCCTAGAGTTTAAGAAATAACGAGGTAGAGAAGCTATTATAGATATTAAAACAAACTTCAATCTAAATTATTTTTTTTCTTGAAATTAATTAAAATTTTGACTGAATGCAATTGGAACTAAACACTTGTCACAAAGGTAATCCTAAGTATATCTTTATACAACCTGATGTCAAGAACATTTGATATTTCAAACTCTGAATTCGAACAGATTAATTAAACATATAATGTTGTAGCTAGTACAGGGTTACCCACAAATGGTAAGCCTTCATGGAGACGACTCTACTGAAATTATACTGTCTTTTTTCTTTCATTTATGATTCTGTACAACTGTAAACTTGTTTCTTCTTTTCTAAATCATTAAATAATCCATTAAAAATAACCATATAATCAGGTCTGAACCCTTAATTCAACATTGGGATCCGCATAATTTAGAAGTTTCAGGTCGTCTTAACAGACTCATCATTTGTGGGTAACCCTGAATTGAATATCATATAGGTTTACATCCTGAGGTAGTAAAAATATCAGGATTAGAAAATAAAAACAAAAGTTCCTTTTTTGTTTGTGTACAAAAATATTGACATAAATTTACCTCTATCCTTTGAAGTTTTATCTAGTTTTGGAATTTTACAAGTTAATTAAATTTGATGAAAACGTAGAACCGTAGAACCAAAACAGGTATAATGATCGTCCTACATTTTCACAAAGACGACACATCCAAGTTTCAAAGTTTAAAGTAAGCGCGCGCGGCCGTATTTTAACTTTTATGATACCTAAACTTTAATAGAGGGGCATGTCCGATTCACAACGGTATATCATTTAAACCTTTGTTTGATCAAGGATAACACAGATTGAAATTACATATACAGACCTTTTAACATTGTTTTTTATAATTTACTATTACAGAAAATCTCCCCCCCCCCTTGGTTCCTGTTTTATTGATTTGGACAGAATCTAATCTATTGTATGACAGGAACAAATCTATGGATATTTCAATCTATTGATTTAGAGGAAAACCTAGTGTAACGAATCCGTAAACATGATAATTTGATCTCAGCAGTGTAAATTTAGTTCTACTAGGGAGAAGGTGCAGGGGGACGCCATGAGCCCCGCCAAATGATCTCCAACCTTCACAGATGAGAATTTAAAATGACTTGGCTCTGCCCATTTCCTTTAGAATAAATATTATAAAAGTAAAGCATAACATTTTTGAAAATGAATTTTGTATTTTAATAGTTATGCAGTATTTTTTGTATATTCTAGAAAACACTGCATTACTATTCAAAGATTAAATATGTTATTAAAAAATTTTATTTATTACTTCTATAATATCTATTCTAACGTTTAGGGTAGCGCCAGGTCAGTTTAAATACTCATCTGCGAATACGGAGGCTTGGATTCAATTTTGCGGGGTTCATAGCGGCTCTGCATCCTCTCCCTTGTTCTACACACTTCCATACTTTAGCTAGTAAATAATCAATCAGATTCGTTGGCGTTTTAGTTCTTATATGGACAGTCGTCGAAATTACAAGTGACCCTACACAATTGTACCGTTTAATACTTTTTGTTGGTTTAAAAAAGTAATTACTTGTCTTAATTATCTGGTTAATTTATGGATATGTTTTAACTTCAACACAATATAAACAGCTGGTATTTTACTCTATATTAATGTTTATCAGGCAAAGTTTTGGTTATATATAAGAGTATCCTGAAGAATGCCTAATGTCGATACAATATAAATTCTATAAATCATGGTTTGAATACTTATTTTATAATATTATATATACCATTACAATTTCGGTCATTTGATCTAAGGAACAAACTGTTAAAATAAAATTTTTAAAGCATGCAACTTATCTAAAAAGAATTGTTGTTTAATATTGCAAGATATATCCCGTTGCAGGATTTGTAAATATAAAAAAAAGGTTTGGAAGATTTTTCTGATGAGCTGTCAAGTTTTAACGTATTAAAGGGACTGTAGTGTAATTTCAAGTGACCCTCCTTGCAAAGAGGACTATGCCCGACTAACAACGGTATCCACTCCAGTATGCCGAGTCCATTAGCGCCTGATCCAATCACAGTTCAGTCTTGTGTTTGATGTCTATTCAGAACCAGTAGAAATAGTATTGTGGTAACATCTATCTTTCTTTCTATATCATTATCCAATCAGAGTTATGAATCCTTCAATCGGCGCTATCAGTAAATAGAAATATAAACTTCTACTGAAACTGTGTATCCTTGAAATCTTGATTGATTGTTGAAGAAGAGAAAGCTCTGTGTGTAAATGTGTTAAATAGCTGTTGAATCTATCTGAAACCCGGTGTAGCGTTAGACCGGTGTACCGGGCCGTAATATTTGGCCCGGGTGCAATACAAAGACGACCTGAGCAAAAACAATATAGTATATTAAACTATCAACGGCATTAGTAAAAAAACACTTTCAAAATTTTAGTCTGCAAAAGAGCGGAAAACATGCCTAAATAATGTACATAATGTGCGTGTGCTTCTATTCAATAACAATGATAATGTGCATGCTTTGGGTCCGTCAAAGTAAACAATTTTTGGACCCCCCCCCCCCCGCCCCCGTTCTATCAATTTTGTACATAACCAGTACATAAGTATCTAAAATATAGAACAGCGCCATTAATAAAGTGCTTAACAAAGAGCGTTTCAGTTGAACTTGAAATTACGCTTCTTCAGTCTGTTCATCAGATATTCAAAATCCAGTTTTACAGGTGTTATATTTTTAACATATCATCATTATAAACTATGGACTTACACAAGGAGAATTGAATAGAAGGAGGGGGCCATAGGGTTTCCGTACACTTTGCTGTGACGTTTTTGGACCGCGGAAGAACTATTTTTTGCGTAACAATAACAAAAGCAGCCGATCTAATGTGAACAAACATGACTTAGTATACGATGAATATTCATCTAACGCCAGAGATTCGCCAGATGTCTGTTTATCATTTGTGTTATTGTTTACAATCTTTATTATTGTTGTTACTCAAAAAATAGTTCTTCAGCAGTCCAAAAACTTCACAGCAAAGTGTACGGAAACCCTATCGCCCCCTCCTTCTATTCAATTCTCATTGGACAGATAGTAATGGGGGGGGGGGCTAGATTTCCGTTTTGAAAGTTGTAATTTCCTGGCTTGTATTACAAAATATTTAGAAGCCAACCCATCCACCCTCCCTCAAAGCTCCTGCAACCCAAGATAGTTTATCCTATGTAACTGGACCTAAATCCAACACATCTATTTCAATTCATATTTTTTTTGAAAAGATGAAAATAGTTAATCAAAAGTGAGCTAATGTTTTGAGACATGAACATAGTCTTGACTTTTGAAATCAGATTCTAAATTTGATTCATCTAAGGATTAAATATACAAAAAAGAAAGAAAAGAAAGAACTATGATGAATAAGGTTTGAATATAAAATTTTATATTTTTCTTTTCAACAATTACTTATCAACAATCAACATAGATGATTTGTTTCTTTTCGGGTTCTAACTTCTAAATCTATATTTACAATTTACAAATTAAAACTATTTACAAGAACCTTTTATATATCTCTCTAGTTAGATCACATTTGAATTTTATATTAAGTATGAGATAGGCATCATTTTCTGTGTAAAAAAAATGTTAAACAAACAAATTCTGATTAAATTCTTAAATCTACGCTAGAATCATGACAATCGATCAAACTTAACTTTTAACCTCGTTTATTGGTAAAACTTACATGAGCAAAGAAAAGGTTTTAAGCTGGTCGAAGTTTAAAGCTTTTGCCTCATCAAAAGAAAGATTACTGGAACATATGATGCAATATTTAAGGCGCGCATGATAACAGCCTATAGGTTAAAAATTTCAAACTCACTTTTAAATGTTGCAGCACGCCTACATATTGTAAAACAAAAACTTGCATGTTTTCAAGTAAAATTAAAAGTATAAACCTTAATTAAAGTAATCATAATTCTAGCCCAGAGCGAGAGCCCAGGATTATAAAGCAGGATGATAATTCAAATATTCTTCAAGAAACCCAGGAAACCTGCTCATTTCATTCATTATTCTAGAACTTAATAATGAAGTGATCAAAATCCTAAATATTTTGATTATTCTTTGAATTTCAGATAAATTAAACTTTTGTTTATTTTTGCTTACATCTAAAGTTGTATTAAATAAATTCCCAGAAAGCAACGCCATTCGTGATTAGTTTTCAGGACTTACTTATAGAGTTTCATGTTCTTAGAACTTGCAAGCGCTCATCCGTTCAGTATCATCGGACAATTACAAATAGTTTCATAAAATTTAAAGTTTTCTGAATCTTTTTTAATTTTATTCCACAAAATTCAAAAACAGAATGGAAAAAAATGTTCCCCCAAAAAATATAAATCTTCAAATAATTTTCCCCTTTTGTTTGACTGAATATTGAGCATGGTTTAAACTACAGAATGAGAAAGCAGAGGATACGGACTTTGATGACAACAGGAAGTGGGTCATGGAAACAGTGACAAAGGAGGAGAAGGCTGAAAAGAACGAGGAGGAGGAGGAGGACGAGGACTATGAAACCACCACAATAGATATATTCAACGGTCAATACCATGAGGTCAATCCGGGACAGTACACAGAGCTACACCCGGGACAGTACAAAGAAGTGAATCCTGGTCAGTACAATGAAATCAATCCAGGGCAGTACACTGAACTGCATCCAGGACAGTATAGGGAGGAAGACAACTATGAAGATGATCTAAAGGTAGGAGCTCAGTGTCCAAATTTAATGAATTTAAGCCGCGTCTAAAATCCCCCGAAAACCGGTTTCAAAAGAGCGCCGGCTTAAATCTTGAAAAATTTTATACAAAATTAAGTGAAACCAATAAAATTTGAGCCGTGGCTTAAATTTAAACCGGGGCTTAAATTCTTTAAATTCGGCCTCAGATCGATCAGGTAGTTTATGATCATCCTGCCTATAAAGCAGAGAAGGGATTGACTAATCATACAGCTGTTTATTGCTTTATAATTTGTGTTAATCAATCAATCAAGATGAAGATTTTGGGGTTATTATGCCTTTTTATTGTCTGCATCATCAATTGTGCACAGTGGGTCAAGTGGTCACAGAAAGGAAGTATACGTAGTCTCAGTAGTCATGAAAATACAACTATTTTTTTGAGTCCATATTGTGCATTTTACATGAACATTTCGGTTTTGCGCTTCTAAAACCCAACACTTACCAACTTGTTAGAAGCCTAGTGCTCGTCAACCCTATTACTTTGTCTACCTGATCTGGAGCCATGTATACGAGTAAAAAATGGTCTTTATAAAAAGAAATCTGTTTTTTAAAATTAGATTGGAAAGTTTTCAAAAGTTAAATAAATTTTGTACACTTTTGACTTAATTTTTACCTAGAGTTGATTTTGCAAGTATTGAGGTTAATGATTTAAGGGTGGATATTGCAAATACTTATGTTGATGATTCAATAATTGCTTTTGCAAATACTTAAATTGATGATTTAACACTTGATTTTGCAAATATATAGGTTGATGATTTAACGGTTGATTTTACAAATATTTAAAATAATGATTTAACATTTGATTTTGCAAATATTTAGGTTGATGATTTAACAGTATATTTTTAAATGTTTTGGTTAACGGTTTAACAGTTTATTTTGCACATATTTAGGTTGATGATTTAACGGTTGAACGCAAATATTTAGGTTGATGATTGATCAGTAGATTTTGCAAATATTTAGGTTGATGATTTAATAGTTGATTTTGCAAATATTTAGGTTGATGATTTAACAGTTGATTTTGCAAATATTTAGGTTGATGATTTAACAGTTGATTTTGCAAATATTTAGGTTGATGATTTCACAGTTAATCTTGTAAATATTTAGGTTGATGATTTAACAGTTGATTTTTCAAATAAGGATGAAACAAAGATTTACAATGTACAGGTTAGTATAGAAATGTGTTCAAATCTAAGATTTACAATGTAAAGGTTAGTATAGAAATGTATTCAAATCTAAGATTTATAATGTACAGGTTAGTATAGAAATGGGTTCAAATCTAAGATTTACAAAGTACAGATTAGTATAAAAATGTGTTCAAATCTAAATATTTTGTAGAAACCAATAAAATATCTTTTATTGTCAGAAACCCTTTAATACTTTTATTTATAATTTCTTAATAATTTATTCTCAGAATATCTTTATATTTGATACAATATTAGGGATGATTAGGACTAGTGCAATAAAAAATGGAAAATATTTATTCTGGAAACAAAACTTTTTTTTTTTTGATACTGAAATGCGCTATGAACTGATGATCTATATGATCTTTTTTTAAAAAGAGTATGGTCTGGTGACACTAGACAAATCATTCCTATTAAAATTCAGTTTAAATAAATTAATTAATAATAAAAGTGCTTGAACAGTTTGAATACTTTTTTAAGAATAAAAACAATATTTTACAATGAAACATAGTTTTATTAAATGTTATGTTTAGGCTAAAGCTGGCGATTTTATTATTGGAGAAGTCGGGACAATTAGTTTAAACAGCGGACAGACACTTCAGGTAGATAGATAGATAGATAGATAGATAGATAGATAGATAGATAGATAGATAGATAGATAGATAAATAGAAAGACAGACAGGGTATTATTAAGCCCAAAGCATCTGAACCAAAAAATGTTGAATGAATGTTAAAATTCTAAGTGCCTGGCTTAAACTTCAAATTGAGTTTTTATCTGAGTATAGAGCACGACATTAGATTACATTTGTTTGATAAATAGGTTATTAATTAGATATACCCGCACCAAACAATAGGTTTCATCCTGGCCACACACACACTCAGTCTAGAAATGGGCATTGTTTTGATGAACACATGATTTTGTAAACAATTTGGCTTTGTTCGGGCAAATCAATGAACGGTCGTTCATCGAGAACTAAAAAACGATAGCCTGTTCTGCACGAATGAAAAAAAATAAACTTAAATTTCCCAAAATTTAAAAATATTTGAGCTATAATTACATGCTGAAAACAATATAAAAATGGATTAATACAATTTCCGTTACATTTCCAAAAAATCAATAATATGTTGAAAAGAAAGAAAAGAATAAATAGCATTTTACATTTTAATTGTTATGCGATTTTTATCAAATACCCCGGAAGAGGTAGAAGAGGTTTTGTGATTTTTAAAAATAATAATACTGTAAACAGTTTTATATTGTAAGGGAAATAGAGATGGAAAACTTGAATTTTAGAGAAATTATTAATCTATATTTACTTTGCTTCTCTGTTTGGTTGATTGTTTAATTGTTTGATCGTTTCCGATGAACGTCTAAACGACTTTACCAAATTTTTGTGGAACCTCACATGATCCCAGAGAAGGTTTATGGATGTTAGGATTTAAAAAATGTGCCTTAAAATTTGGATTCATCAAAATCGACGAACAGAAATCAATGAAAGAGCAACAATCATTAGTTACAGATGTCTTGTATTATATATAAGAAAGCTCTTACTCATGTCTATTTATTTGCATATTTATTTTTTAGATATAGCTAGACAAACGGCTGAACCAAATTTAATTTTCAAAGTTCAAATTAAGTTTTAAAATTTCACAGTAAACGCCGCGGGCACTTCAGCTACGGTGGTAAGCGATTATAACACTACAATGAAGACGACTTTTGATTGTTAACAAGCTATGTTTCGATTTACAATCAAGTTTAAATGTAATCAAAGAGAAGCTTTTTTGAATAATAAATTCGCTTGACTTCTTTGTTTCTGTGTATCCATGCTGTTTAACAGCGTAATTTAAATCAAAATTGAATTCGAAAGTCTTCTTCATTGTTTTGGTAAAATTGCCTACCACAATAGTTTATATTATATTATCAATATTTTCAGGGTGTAAGATACACAGCAGTTGATGGTATCTTGAATCAGGGACAGATTTCAGATATTTTACAGAAATTCTTCGGCACACAGACAACATGATAAACAGCTGTCACAGTTGGTATGCTATAGCCACAGCTGTAACAGACAACATGATAAACAGCTTTCGCAGCAGGTATGCTAGTCAAAGCTGTCATAGCAGTAGCAGCGAGCTGTAGACTGTCTTGGTTAAACGCTGCCACCGCAAGCTGCTTAAAGGTGTCACTGTATACTGCTTACAGCGGTCAGTGTCAGCTTAATGGGATGATCCAGCTTTGGCTACTGGCCAGTTTCAGATGTTACACAGCTGTCATGGCTTTTCAGATGTTATGCAGCTGTCATTTTGTCAGATGTGTAGAAGCTGTCATGGCTTGTCAAATTTATGCTGCTGTTATCAGAGTAAACTAAGCAGTTCATCAGCTGTCTCATAGATATGTACAAAAAGCTAAACCAGCACTGTGCTCTCGGTTGCTATTAGTGCCAAAGATCTCGCTGAATATCAGCACAAATTTTGTTCTTGTCAAAATGATGCAAGGAAACATATTTCTTTCTTAAAGATTTAGGGACCATTACATTTAATAGATCATGTGTTTTACATTTAGATAGAGGAATTCAGTCTAATTAAATCAAGATAAAGGATATCTGTCCTTATATCTTGATGTAGGATATCTGTCCTTATATCTTGATGTAGGATATCTTTCTTACATCTTGATGTAGGATATCTGTCCTTATATCTGAGGTAGGACATCAGTCCAAAAATCTAAATGTAAGACATAAGTCCTATAATCTAAATGTAGAAAATCTGTCCTTATGACTAGATATAGGAAACCAGACCTATTACCTAGATGTATAAAAAACCAGTCCTATTTTCTAAGGTCTAGATAGAGAAAATCATTCTTACTATCTAAATGTAGGAACTCAGTCCTATCATCTAAATATAGGAAATCAGTCCTATTCTAGATTTAGGAATTCAGTCCTATTATCTAGATTTAGGAAATCAGTTCTATTTTTTAGATAAAAGAAAATCAGTCCTAAGATCAATAAGTTGGAAATCAATCCTTCTCTCTGCAGATGTGGGAAATCAGTCTGTAGATTGGATTATGTCATCACTGTATCTTCACTCTAGGCTGTGATNAATATGCGATAGCACATTTTATCACGGTATACAATCACCAAATCAATCAAACAAACTGATGAATCGACTGATATCACATTTTTTGTGACTGCCATTGTCTGATTCATTCAGTGCTATTTTTCTAACGTCATAATATTTGTGTTTATATCTGATTAAGAGCAGTGCAGCTATTCCTCCTCATCATGCTCTGTTTATGAGTTGGAGGGAGGGAACTCAGTTCTTCCCAACCACAACTTTTAAACAAAATATTACCCAACCTCACAATTAATTTTCCTGTTGAAGAAGGGTGTTTGTAGCATTTTCTATTTATTCTTGTTTTTGCCTTCTGTATGAACATTAATGTACTGTACAATACTGTTTGTACGTTACTGTACTGTACAATATATTTTCCCCGATTCTCCTAGTTTTTGCCACCGTGTTCATATTGTGCCTTGTAATTGTACAATTTTATCTCCTTATTATGAAACTTAATACAAGTAAGATGTGCATAGTTTTGTATCTTAGAAATAAAACCGTTGTGCATGTATTTTAACAACAATTTTGCTTTGTAAAAGTGCAAAGATTACATTTCAAAATAAATTTTACATTAGTTTTCTGAATTATTTTGGTGAGATGAGATTAATCATTATTATCCTAACAATAAATAATCCTACAGTTCTAGACGGTTAAATAAATACAAAAACACGACTTTTTATCTAAGTTTTGATTGTTAACAAGCTTTATTCGACTCACAAACTAATTCAAAGAGAAGCTATTTAAATTCAAAGTTTCTCAATTGTCCTTTATGTTTATGTGTATCCATGCTGTTTAACAGCTTGATATTAATCAAATTAAAATCAAATCAAATCAAATCAAATCATTTATTTCTGCAGAAAAAAAACAATATTTACTAATTTATTTTTAAAAATCACAATATGTAAAATATTAGTTTCCGCAGCAGGCGGACTCAATAGCCTGGGGCTGTTTTAGCTGAGCCCCCCTGTTAACCAAATTCTTTAATTGAATTATAACATTTAAAAAAAACACATACACAAAAAGAACCAAAGAGAAAATCAGTGCAGCATCAATCGAAGGTTGGGCATGGAAACTGATCTTCCTTTTATTCATAAATGCGACGACAACTATATAAAGCGATTATTACAAATACCAGGGTAATTTTCAGGGTTTTTTTACATGAATTAAATTTACCCACGGACTATACAGACTGTTCATGCAATCTACTTGGATAGGCTGAGCAGGCCTATAGTGTCCTGGCACGCCATGCTACGGTTCCATGTAATGTTTTTTGACTGACATCTCACGGCCATTTGTAGCATTCAGGGGTTAAATTTTACAACTTTTAAAGATATACTCCAATTTTAAACATAAAACATAACGTTTATGAATATTGTACATTTTTAAAGATTTCGCATTTCTTATTCAAAAGATCCTTAAATATCCCTGAATATAGATGTCTCCTGATTGGTCGTTTACAGTACTTGAACACAATAGAACATGCTGTCGAAAATATCGCATATTATTGGTGTTAATCGATCTCTGTGAATCTCTTATCTCTGAATTTACCCATAATTTACCCCACTACCCCAACCACCCCAGTTCCCCCTCTGTGGAACCACTGTGCCCCCCCCTACATCCTCTCATCAAGGTTGTGTTGTGGGTTGAAAAACATATTTACCCAACCTTTGGTTTTAATGATCTAATTTGCATATAAACTATGTTGAAAAGGGTTTGTTTTGCATAAATATGCTTTACTTCTCATGATATGCCAATTCAACGTTATTTTCGGGGTATTATGGCAAATAGTTGACTCACAAAAATTTTACATGCAGGGTGTTCCAATAAACATGGGAGTTCAGTGACGAATTCGATATTGTCTTTTTATATAATTCTTTGATTTAGTATATTGATACATTTTGAGAAAGCTGTAATCCGTAAGGTTTATCGTTTGTTATGTTTACTATTTGTTTTTTTTTGTGTTTTGACTGCATATGGTTTTACTTATTAAAAAAATAAAATTACAGTATACAAACAGAGTAAACTTGTCCGTCTTCACTGTTAATTTTGCCGAGACATTAAGGACACATCTTTACAGCCGTTTACTCTAGCAGACATAATAATATCATGGGTTTGAAATTAGGTATTGCAATGCTAATTCATAACAAAGACGATATCCAATTCGTCACTGAATTCCTATGTTTTTTGGGACACCCTGTGCATTTGTTCAGATTTCAAATTTCTTAAATAAAACCAAAATGATCTAATTCTGAACAAAATCAAACCTCTGAAAATATTGAAAGCACAAAGCTGGCGGACCACAATTTGGAAATGCCACTAGATTAGGAGTATTTTGTGATTGTCGCACTGCTTTGCAGACCAGTACAGTAAACTGACACACACTCTTCTGGTACAGACACACAACATGACTACAGTCAAGGAAATTGTAGAGCAATGTCGTCGATTATAATTAAATTTGAATAACGAGTAGTTTATTGTAAACTTTAATAAAATTATATTCTTTGCATGAAAATTTGGCTTTATAGTGTTGACTTAAATATGTAAATAATATATTACATGTATATTAAACATATGTTTAAGTAAACAATTAACAATAAACAAANTTTGTTTTACAGAAACTTTTTTTATTTCTAGAATTTTAAAAGGTTTTACGACAATACGAGAAGGTTCCAACATTTTAAAACTTTATTTTATAGAAGTTTGCTTTTTTCAAACATGCATATTTGTTACTCCAGAAGAATATTTAAAACGATAGTTTTTGCCTTATAGTTTTACATAGGATACTAAATTTGCATGTTTGATACAAACAAACTTATACAGAATACAATTTTAAATCGTTGGAACCTTCTCAAATTGTCGCAAAACCTTTTAAAAGTCTAAAAATGTTAAAAGTTTCTGTTAAACGAATCTAACTACAGGGTGTCCCACGAAACATGACAGTTGGTAAATAGTTTGGAGTGTTCTCTTCCATTTGTTAAGTTGTTTAATACCAAAGACAATAATAAAGATATTATATAGGAGTCATATTATAGTAAAATATACTTGAGCAAGAGCAAAAGAACTGCAATATCTAAAACATTGTATGGAAGACTACATTTAAAACTATTTACCAATGTCATGTATCATCTAAAATTGATAACCTTAGAGAACATCTAGAGAAAATAATGTACTTTTAACAGTTTTAAAATCAAACTTGCACCCTAATATTATATTTTCTAAACTTGAATTGTGGGTGATGATGGATTTGACTGATGCATTAAAGTACATCTTGTTGCAAGGATTGATCTTTGAACTCAATTCCTTTTTTTTTCATGAAACTTCTTGGTTATTGTATTTTCAATTATTGTAATCCTTAAAAACGGAGGTTTTATGAAATGATTCATCTTTTGTATCATAATCGTATTGTGTATTCAAATATATATATATATACGTGGGAAGGATTACGCATAACAATCTATACAGGATTATCCGGGCTAAAGTCAGCAAGAGAGAAAATTAACACTCTCCATAAATTACTGTTTCGCATCTTTATAAATTTGCAACCTGATGGTGTACACTGACACCTTTGACATTGTAAAAGTTGAATATTCTATTTAACCGTATCCCGATTGGGCTATCCCTAGTCCATAGTTCAACTTTTCAATACTTCCTTATTAAAACATAAATGAGTCATCTATCTTTAAAGTTAGGGTGCAAGGGCAGATTTTTTTTTAAAGTTTAAAAAGTGCATCGAACAAATGTTCAAAAATAATTTTACTTTTGACACATGTTATTGCATCCATTTTTAAGGGCTTTTTAAACATGTAAATGTTAGTCTTGTGGCTTTATAAATAAAACAGTTATTAACCATTTATGATTTTTTTAAAAACACAGACCAGCCATTTGACTGTCCTCCACCCTACCCTTTGCATAAAAAAAATTAAATTTGTTCACAACTATGAAGTTTAAAAAGTATAAAAGTTTTGGCGTTTTCTAAAGAAAGCCGTTTTTAACTTATTTAGAAAAAAAACAGGGGGCCGGGTTGGAANTAACCGGATTCATGGGTAAAATTATGAAGTGTATGACATTCAGGTTCCTAGTTATCAGCTTTATCACTCTCCAATTATAGAGTGACATGTCCAATTCACTTAATATAGCATTTATATACAACCTAATCGTTATTTTCTTGTATACAAAATTGTTTAATTCTGGTAATTCCTTCCATTGTCTCTACTTTTGTAAATCCGTAAGTTCTTTTTGAAGAGAACCCACAATCTTAAAATAAATTTTCATTATAACAACTTTAATATATAATTCATTCTCTATCATTTAAAGGTGTAAAGGGTACCGTTGTAAATCGTGCATGCCTCTTTAAAATTGCAGAAACCATTACAGTTCCTTTAAGACTTGTTTTGTGTTCAGTATATTCTGCTTGATAAAATAACAATACCTATAAATATATTATAGATATGATCTGATATCATTAGATTATAATTTTAAATTAATTTTTTGCTTCACGCACTCTTTCTGTTCTATAAATATAGTGCAATCAGAGCTGAAAACTTCAGAATGGTGGATTTTGAGATTACTGCTTGATCATATAATGAATTAGGTGAATAAATAACATCATTTGATTTATTGTTATAACGGAAAATCATCGTTTGTAAAGTGAAAGGCATAGAGTCTATGTGAAATGATCATTGGTATATTATGAAACCAGCCTATTTCATAATTTGGTTTTCCTTTAATATTAATTTTAGATTTTCTATAAAATTATGTTCCAGGGCCCAAAAGGTTTAATGGCATAAATATGTGAAGTACACCTGCAGTAAGGAAACAGTACAACAAAATGGCCGTTTAAAACTTTTTTCTAGTAAATTCCTCTCTAATATATATTCTATTCTCTTTGCACGTATACGATGCCGATAAATTTGAAATTTTGCGCGCCATTTAAGATTAATATACAGAAACAGGAGGGACTCTCTTATTTTAAAAAACCGCTTTTTGATTTTTTCCACTATATCCAAGAAAGAAAGGTTTAAGAAGAAAATCAAAAGTGTGTCCAATGGATACTCAGATAAAGTAATCGGGATTAAGGATATCTCATTCTAAAGTTTTCAGTACAGGTTTAATTTATATTTATCTTGATAACACATCAAAAGAACTATTAAATAAAATAATATCAAAAATACCCGATTTATAAAGAGACCCTCGAAAGCTTTGTCCGACCAAAAATGAGGAAGATGACGTTTTATTTCTGACTCGACTCTTCTGAGCATAGAAACCACAAACGAAAATAAACAGCTAAAACAAACAAAAACATGAATCTCTAAAAGTAAAACTTGGTCAAACAAAGCTTTTCAGAGTACAGTTGTAGATCGGGCATTGCCATGTTTGTATTAAGTAACTTACCACCCTCAACAGAGCTTTGGGTGTAATAGTGCAGTAATCTGCAGTACAATGATCGAGGATATATTTATAGTGTTTAGTGGAGTGTTTTTACGCTTACAGTCCGGCCCTGTAACGTGCTAATTTTAGTTTATCGATGTTCCATAAAGCATAAGAATTAAGAGATAACCTATCGTCTTCATTTCCGGAAATTAGAAAATAATTAGAGGTTTATCAAATATCGTCTTCATTTCCGGTAATTAGAAAATTATCAGAGGTTTATCAAATATCGTCTTCATTTCCGGTAATTAGAAAATAATCAGAGGTTTATCAAATATCGTCTTCATTTCCGGTAATTAGAAAATAATCAGAGGTTTATCAAATATCGTTTTCATTTCCGGTAATTAGAAAATAATCAGAGGTTTATCAAATATCGTCTTCATTTCCGGTAATTAGAAAATTATCAGATTATCAACATCAAACAGAGTAATTCTTATGAGATATCCAAATGTAGTTTACTTCTAATAAAAAATCTTAAATTCGTTTTTTGTGTTTTGGACTCAGTGTAAATAATTTTTGTCTGTGAAAACCCCTGCGTATAATAGTTGCATGATTGGATTCAGTAATAGTTAAAAATCTTAATTAAGTTTTTAAAACCTGACCACATATCTTGTCTAGTTGTCGACGCACATAATCATTTTAGAGCAAAGAGTTAGAATTTTTAGACCTTTGAAAACCATCCTTCTCCTCAACCCATATCCTTCTCTTTAACCCATCCTTCTCCTCAACCCATCATTCTCTTAAACCCATCCTTCTCCTCAACCCATCCTTCTCTTTAACTCGTCCTTCTCCACAACTAATTTTCCCAATTTCCCAAAATTATTGAATTTTATGTAAAGATAGACAAATATTAATCTAATTGTACTTCAGTGCCAATTTACCAATTATTATAGTTCTTTTTTTTGGTGAAATACTTGCAATTGTGCTTTTATTACAGCTGGGCTTTGCGTAAAAGACGACCCTTATTGACGACTTTGAACATACAATTTATGATCATTTTACGGCGATCATTGTAGCTTTGAACCTCCTCGCTCGTCTACACTTATTGCTGAAAATGTTGTCTGCCCTTTCTTATTTGATCTTTTAATTTCTATCATTTATATTTAACAATTTGAGTTGTCTAACTCTTCAGGATTCCGAAGTAAAATTTTAAAAAAGAAACGAAAATTAAAGGGACTGCAATGCCTGTAATTTCAATTGCAGACCAAATTAAATAACGGTAACCTTACCCAACAAACAAAAACCCTTGAAGAATACAAGATTATTTGGTTTATTTCAAGTAATATTTCAAGTCTAAATAATGTTCAGTTATATCTAAAAGATCGATATTCCAAAAAGGGGTTGTTGAGAAATACAATACAAAATTCAATGTGAAACTTTTCTATGCTCTGCTCATGCTTGTTATAATCAAAAAAAAATAGGTAGTGTGAAGGATGCTAATTTTGGTAGTGTCTGATTCAATTAACTTCTTTCTCCAGAGCCCTAAGAGAGAATCTATTCTAAACAAGATGCTGAAGGTATACAATATACAAAGTATCACTGTATATTTATTATAAGTATGACATTGTAGGCTTGTAGCAGTAAATTGTAGACAATTCTTTTCACTATTCATAAAACTCTGAAACAAGTATTAGGCATTTTTTTTATTTTAGGATTTGATGCCTGAAATTAAGCGAGAGAAGGCACTTCTTGGCCTGTGTATGACTAGGTGTTTCCTGTTTTTTAAAAATTATTGGAAATCCCTCAAATCTGATTTTTAAATCTAATTCATCTAATGGAACAGTCTTATACTTGAACTTTCATCCGTAAAATAGTTTGAATCCAAATTTTTTCCTCAAATAACACTATATTATCCTGGGCTCTAGAAACTGCAGTCCTGCCATAAATTCAGTTCACTTGTTTTCCTTCAATATTATATTTCATTCCAGAATGAAATCTTGAATTCAATGTATACTTGTTTTTACCATTTGGCATGCATGAGAACTATCCATTTGATTAAACACTACTTGTTCTATCTTTTCGTTTAAACAGAAATAAAATAAATCTAGAGAGTTTCCTATCCTATCTTTATTATCTATGTTATCAATGTATGTCTTATCTATTTCAATGTTGCTCTAACCGGCCGATCCGGTCAGTTTGATTCACCTGTATATAAATAAATTTAGTACTACATTAACCTTCGTATTATGTGGAAGAATATAGAGCCTTGAGTTTTGGCTAGAGTTGAGAGCCTTGAGTTTTAGTTAGAGATAGAGTTAGTGAGGATAAATTAGACTCTGAGTAGCGTAATCTTGGGACTAGACTTTAATACAAAAGTGGTGGCAGCAGGCGGGACAACCTATGAACCAGATCTAGATGCCCGAGAATCTGAAAGTATTCCGGAAAAAGAGTAAAGTGAAAACCTGGTTTAACGAGTTAGCCAGAGAAGTTTTAACAGGAGAGGATTTGCCTGTGAGAGAACCAAGTGTGGCTACAGGAAATACAGTGGCCATCTTTCAAGAATATCCAAGTTTAGCCAGTGACGATTCTGGATCGGAATTAGAGATGGAGGGACCATCTCAAACAGCAATAAAAGGCATGGCGGAAATAAGGCAGCAGTTTCAGCTGCTCCAAGCCCAGTTGACGGAGACTAAGGAGAAATTGGCAAATATTGAGCAGAAAGATAAGGAGAAATCATTCGCCCAGACATCGCAGGAGACACAGGATCATGTAGGAAGAGTAGTTGCAATACTAGAATGCCCTAAGGCGGAAGATTCTCAAGAAGTTTATGTGTCCTTTCTGAAGGCGGAGAAGGCAGCTGGCAGAGGAGATAGGCTGACGCTAAGAGAGCTGAACAGGGTGGATGCTGAGTATAAGAAGAGATTGTTGGATTTTAGCTACAGAGCCCCAACCTACGATGGTAACACTGGTAAAGTGTTTGACTGGTGTGGCAAATTAGAGAAACATCTGTCAAGATTTGAATGTGAAACGATCCCTAATGATGCCATAAAAAGGATGCTGCTAGACTGTATAACAGGAAAAGCATAGTCCGAGAAAGTATTGTTGAAACCTGATGGATTAGCTTTTGACAACTACAAGATTGGTGAATTCTTTCAAGAATTATTAAAGAAGTTCACTCATGAGAAGGATGAGAAGGGCAGGAAGATGGAATACTTGCACAGGAATCAGGCAAGAAATGAAGATGCGTGTCAGTATTACACAGAAAAGCTAAGGTTATTCGTGCAAGCCTACCCCCCAGCCAGGAGGAGTTTAGTCAAGTTCAAGACTAATATGCTGTTAGGATTATACAATGATGAACTGAGGAAAACTTGCCTGATGTTTATGCCTCAAGATATTAAGCATGAACGGGAGATTAAGGCAGTTCTGGATCACCAACTAGTAAACCTGAGGACTTATAATATGGACCCCAGGGCTCCAGCCCAGGATATGGCAGGCTTACAGAGCACATATGGGTATGATAGGAGTGTGACGAACAAGGCCAACAAGATGTTGAAGACGGGACAGGTGCCCATGGACGTCAACGGCATGCCAGGGCTGGTGGAGGACGTGTCAGATGCTGAAGAATTGGATGCTGAGAGCGGGATAAATGCCCTCAAGGGCGGAGATGTGAGTTATTTTTGCAAGAAACCTGGTCACCAGAAGAGGGATTGCAGGAAGTTTGATGAATGGAAGAGGAAGAGTCCTAACAGGAAGTACGGAGGTGACACTCATAAGGCCAATTCCCGCCCCTCAATTTAGTGTTACAACTGTGGGAAAGAGGGTCATATTTCACAGGAATGTAGAGGAGAACAGAGAAACCAGGGAAGGAGAGAGAATGGCAGTTGTGGAGGCGGACAGATGGCGGATATGGCAAAATCTTTGGCAGCTGTGCAAGAGGTTTTGAAGACACTGGCACCTGAGCCAGTTTTTCCTAGGAAGTTGCAATGACCGACGGTCGTGAACTCCTAGGATTGCAGAACATAATGATTTGAATATAGTTTATAATCGTTTAATAAACATTCCTGTTAATCCAAAAGTTCATGAATCTTGTGAATTAGTACCGGAAGTTAGAGATGACAAAGTTAGAATGTAAGTCATAGTAATATAGACAATGTTAAGAAGGTATCTAATGATTTTAACCCTGAAGTGAGAAGTAGTTTGAGACCTAATGGACATAAAGAGCTCGAACTAAGAGAATGGGAAAGGAATATTCTCATGCATCTGAACAATGTTAATTTAGTCAAGAAAGACGACTGTAAAACCTCATATGTGAAATTCAAGCTATTTAAACAAGATATATAAAGGTTAGCCTTAGTAGACACAGGCAATTTATTGAAAGGTACTTTAGTGTCAAGTGAATTCTGGAAGATGATAGGGGGAAAAATGCTAGAGAAAAGTAATGCTAGAGTGCATACTGCGGAGAAAGGTGGGAAAGGATTGAGAGTGTTAGGGAAAGGCAAAATAATTAAGTTTTACTTGGATGGCCTGGATCGTAGATTTGAAATAGAACCGATTGTGATAGAAGGCCTGAATCATGCTGTGAATTTTGGTATAAGTTTTTTCGGCAACAGAAGGTGTCTATAACCTGTACGGAGAAGGAGGTGAAACTAGTTACCGGAAGTAAGGGACAAGAAAGGTTGACAAGACTGTGCAGTGCCTATGGCAAACTTTTCCCTTTCATGATTAAAGGCAGGAAAGTAGATAAAGAAACCAAGAATTATGTACAAGTACTTCCAGCTGTGTGGAAAGCGGAGAGAAGGGAACCGGGAGTAAAAAGCATTAGTGAAGTGGAGGAAGTATTAGAGAGGAAATTATGGTTGGCTAAGAAGGTAACTATCCCTGCTGGAAGTGCGAAATTAGTCAAGGTGAGAACAGAAGGTATCTGGAAGGGTGCTGGAGTGGTAGAGTCATTGCCCTTAGAGGATCAAGAGAAGTTCTACTTCCAGAAAATGCCTATGACCTGTCAGGAAGTATACAAGCAGTGTATGTGGAAAACCATGCAGATGAGTGTGTAGAGTTGTGTGTGGGACAGAAGCTGGGCACCATACACAGTATGTGCATAGACAAACAAGCCTGGATTAAGGAGGAACTAAGGGGAAGTACGGTACCTGATTTAGATAAAGAGAAAGTGTGCACTTCTCAGGAATCGGTTAATTCTCTGCAAGAGTCGAATTTTCCAACAGAAGAGAGTAGAAGGAAGTTTATCAAGGATAGTTTCAAGATAAATGAGAACAAAATTCTGAATAGAGATGCAAAGCTGAAAGAGGAAGTAATCGAACATTTCTTGGAGAACTTTTCTATGTTAGCCCTTCACCCTAATCATCATGGTAAAGTAGATTTATAGAAGCTGCGGATAGGATTACAACCAGGGGCAGTACCTAAGAGATCTAAGGTGAGGCCATTGAACCCCAATAAGCATGCAAATTTGAAAGAACGATTGGATGAGTGGATCCAACAGGGGATTATAGAACCTGCAAATAGTCCCTGGGCATCACCACTAGTTCCTATGAAGTAAAAGGATGGGAGGACAAGATGGGTGACTGACCTGAGGCAGCTTAATGATGTCACAATCAAGGATGCTTATCCCCTGACGAATTACCAGGAAAATCTGCAAAAGTTGAAGGGTGCAAAAATCTTCACTTCAATCAACGCCTGCGGGGCATATCACGCCATACAGATAGAAGAGGGGAGTAGGGATTGTACAGCTTTTATTCGTCCTTTCGGCACATTTCGTTATATAAGGATGCCTTTTGGCCTGTCAAACGCCAGAAGTGTCTACAGCTGGATGTTGGACCTGGCCCTTGCCCACTTACCTGTGGAGTACTGGTTATCATATTTAGACGATGTCCTGGTGTACTCCATGGACACCTGGGACCACTTGAAGCATTGGAAGAGTATCGTGGAGGCTCATACAAAGGCAGGGATCAAGATTCAACCTAAGAAGACCAAGATATTTCAGGCAGAAAACGAATATTTAGGACATAAAGTGAGTCAGGGTGGAGTACAGATGTTGGATCAATATGTGAAAGATATACAGATCTGGCCACGTCCCACCAGTTGCAAGGAAATGTCGTCATTCCTGGGTTTCATGGGTTATTAAGAGGCTTTATTCCCAGGTACTAAGCTTTGACCAACAGGATGATTAGTCTTAAGAAGGCGGAGAAATTTGTATGGACTGAAGATATGGAGGGCGGAGTTTTCAGCAGGGCGGATCCAAGCTTATCCAGATTTTGATTCAGATGAACCTTTCATCCTTACTACGGACTGGTAGTCTTTAAACATTGCAGGGGTTTTGTCTCAGAAACAAGAAGGTGTAGAATGTTTTCTGGGTTGTTGGGAGTGGAAGTGTAATCGTTATGAGAGACACTACTCCAGCGCCAAGGGGGAGCTCCTCACCCTGGTGAAGTGTATAAAGAAGTGGGAACATATTCTGAAGTACCGGCCCCCCTTTCTAGTCTACACCAATTCTGCTAGTTTGAAGTATATTGTGAACTTGAAATCAGAAAAAAACTATCTTTCAACACTAGTACGCGGAACTGGCTTAGTTTGAGTTCATCGTGATACATAAGAAAGGAAGTGAGAACATTAATGCAGATGCTTTGTCCAGAGCCAAACATTTAGATGAGCCAACAACAGAAGAAAACGAAGAATACCAAAAAGCTAACGAAGTGGGAGAGATGAAGATAACTTTTGCATGGGAACTGGAAGGAAACCCCGTGGAAATAGGAAAAGGGAGGTGGAAGTTTGCCGGATATCCACCTGCTATTCACAACTAGGGTTTCCACGAAATGCCTAAATCTTTTGCGCAAAATTTGCGCTATTTTCGCGCAAATTTTATATTTGCGCAAAACCGCAAGTTTTACGCAAAATGTAACTTTTTAGGCAAATTATCAAAAATTAATATTCTAAGCTTAGAATTAAACAACTGAAGTTTTATTCCATATACAAAAAAAAATATTAACATACGAGTATGATAACGATTATACTACACTCAATTGGTTACTTCTTCACATGTAAAAAGAATCTATCTCTCTTTCTCCCTCTCTATATATCTATCTATCTATCTATCTATTCATTATCCCGTTCTTTTCTTGTTTTCCTCTAGTTTTTACTGGGGAAATATTGTGGAAAAAGTTTGATTATTTATTGTGTAGTTTCATAATTAGAT